ACCGAAATAGTGAGTATGCCTCACTTATGTTTTGCTACGCTATATGGGTTATTCTTTTTCATAAATCTTTCCTTCGATATTGACAAGACAAGTTGGGCATTTTGAAACACTGTTTGATTGTAACTTGCTATATGATATTCACTCACAGATTTCGAGAGTGACTAAGGTGTAAGGTCTAACCTTGACGTTGCTAAACAGTAACTCGTTGGTGAGTATCAAGTGCATGTTTCTTTATATCTTGATTTGAATGATACATGTTGCCACGTGTTATGTGTTTGAATATTGAATTTGATGAGGTGAGGATGTACTTTATCACACTCGTCCTCTCCTTCTTGAATGATCATGTACTTGTTTAAACTTGATTGACTTGTGCTTGTATTTGACTTGTAAGTGCTGAACGGCAGCATGTATCACACTCAATTCAAGTGGGAGGTACCTCTCATCCCGTCTCAGTACCATTATCTTGATTAAGTCAATTGGAGAGTTATCTCATCAACCCTAATGCTGAGTGGCAGTATATACCACACTCAATTCGAGTGAGAGGTGCCTCTCATTCCTGTCTTAGTACCTCTATCTTGATTAAGTCGATTGGAGAGTTATCTCATCGACCATACTTGTTCTTGCTTGGGTATACTCGAGTATTACCACTACTGTTTCTAATTGGTGTTCGGGCCCGGTAAGAGGTATGTTTGGTGGACAAAAAATTGGTGTAAAGTGGAGATCTACGGTCATTGTTTTTACTTCTTTAAACGTTGACGGAGTGTCAACGGGTTTGGATCAAGCTACTGCAGCGGGGAAATTGGCTCCTGAGAGCTCCTGTATCCTCTTAATGAATGTGTTTTAGTCCTTTTGTGACTTTACGTGAAACCATTGTTGTTATTCTGTATATGTGCTACTTGAGTTGAATTATGGTACTTGCTCTACTTGCTTGCTTGATTTCTGGGCCTCACTGAGCGTCCGCTCATCCCTTTAAGTTGTTATTCCTTGACAGGAATTTGAAGTGAAGAATTGGAGGCGCTAGATTAGCCAACTTTTGTCTAGAATTAGTGTGATTCCCTGAGCGACTTTTGGACATTTGGAAGTGTAGATTTCATTTGTATTTGAAATATTATGGTTGTAACAGTTGACGCTGTTGCCTAAGGATTGTGGCTATTGTTATTCAAGTACTTTCTTGGTTTTAAGAAATTGTTTGGCTTGAAAATCGTGATTTGGTTCGTGTGAGTGCATGAGTCTTGACGAGAGTTGGGTAGGCGATCCGCCAAACCCTTGGGTTCGCCCTAGGGGAGGTGGGGTCGTTACACTTTATCCATTGGTTTCCTTTTTAAACCTTTTATTCTTCAAATAAATTAGATTCAAAATGCATTTGTAGTATATTATTATATTATTATCACCCTTCATGTAGTGATTGTGAGTTAATTTTTATTTTCTGAATCATTTTTCAATGATCAATCTCTGTAAAATATTGAGAATGTCCATTCTTCAATTTACAAAATTGAAAAATCATATACCATATATCTACTCTTCCTATATGATACTTTGCCACCATCAATTACAATGATCAAAATTGAACTACAAGCTACAATTTATTAGCAATAAACTGTTAATCTGAGCATGATTTAACTATTTTTATTCTATTTTATTTCAATGTTTGCATCAGTATTCTAAATTTTATATATTTTATTATTTTACATATTTTCTATTAATATTGTTTTAAAAAAACTTTCAAAGATGAAAAAGTGGGTGCAAATGCACTAGTAAATAGTTCATATTGCATATTGTCCAGTTCGACTTACATTAGTGTACTTAACAAACCCTAATTTTATATCTTAGATATTGCATATCCTTTTCATAATTCTACTTATTTTATGTTTTAAACATAGCATATGTCCTTTTTCCAGTCCCAAATTATTTTTCAATAGTTATTCATTAAAAAAAAATTTTTTGCTTAAATAATTATTAGAGTTTTCAACATTTATATTGCTATATTCAATGGCAACATTCAATGAAAAATGATCCCATGCTAATGCACAGCAAAAAAAAATAGTTATACATTATTGCCATAGTGATTCTTGAAGCATCAACTGTAGAATCATAATTCCATTCATTGCCATATTTCTTTGATCTCCTCATGTCATTTCATCTCCAGATATATATTTCTGTATCATGTACATGGGTTTTGCAAGCCAAAATTAGTCAATTATATTAACTCAATTGAACTGGCTAAGTTGGATAGATTAATCTCATGCAAATGTAAATGTAATGGGAACCAAATTGGAATAAGCATAACATACATATGAAATTAAAATAAAAAAAATTTCCATGAAAAGACTACAAATTTCAATAAAGTGGAAAAGAAATTGAAGAAAAGAATCATGCAAGCACCAGCTGAAAAATGCATAATAGACGTTTGAAAGCAAAGGTTGAAAATGACTACAGTGATGAACATAAGAATTTAATGAAATACGAAGTATACAAGTGAAGGATATTGAAATATGCATGTTAGAGAAAGCCAAGGACTTTGGTCTAGCAGTTGACGTTAAGACTTTAAAATTTAGATATCCTGAGTTCTAATTTTTCTTGCCCCTCCCCACTTCAAATATCTCACGCCTCCCGTGTTAAAAAAAATTTAAAAATGTGCATATTAAAGTATGAATTCCTTATTTAACTATAAATGCAACTAGCATATCTACCTATACTAAACATTAGGCAAGGTTTACAAACGAGTTAAAAACTCGTTATAAGATTAGAAAATGGAGGGACAAGGATTGATAGCGTAATATCTAGCATGTTTGGAAGGAAGGGAATGCATGTGCAGATTGTTTGGCCCAATTTAGCTTGAATTGCAAGCCAGGAGTGCAAGATTCACTGTATCTGATGCAGGGTACTTGACGGGCTACTTCCTTCTCCTTCCACGATGGAGGAGTCTACACATGCCTACTGGTGAGATGTAGGCTGTGTTTGGTTCGATTGTTTTTGGCAAAAACTGTGGCTGTAGTCAAAATACAATTTCAGTCAACCAACTTTTTTTTAAATGCTACAGTTCCGGTCCTGGTACACGGCGCCGTTTAGGAGCCAAAATGACAAAACAAGTTTTGAGGTGTATTGTCCTTCCGTTCCTCCTCGTTATTTTCTGAGTTAAACTGTATCGAGCAACTACGAGGCTCCTCTTCACTTTCCTCTTCTAAGCAGCATCAACAGTAGAGCAGACACTTGAATGTTCAAATCACCGGTTCTACCCCAGCTGATCTGCTTGTAATGCTGCTGTCATCGTCGCCGCAAGTGAACAGTTAGCTGGTCCCTCCACAATTTGCAACTTATCTGCAGCATAACATCGGGAGAAGGAAGCTGAACCTCCGCTGCACCTCGGACAGGGGAGGTAGTGGAATTGCCCAGAAAATCATTCGAAGCTGCTTGCTGAAGAGCTTTCTTCCCTTATTTCCAAGTCGCGGCCAAGGAGTCTCACCGCCGTTGCTCAGCTGTTGCTTCGTCGAGGTGAGTTTGTACTGTTGAGCTAATTGGGGCCTTAATTCGTACGAATTAGGGCTACAGTAATTAATGAATGTGGTTGCTGTTTAATCCTATTCTCTGAAAAATCAGCGGGCGATAGTAAATGGTAGAGACAGAGGATCAATTAAGAAAATGTGGATTTGCCTTGTTTGGACTGACATTCATGCTTCTTCACTTAACTTCTTTATATTGTGCGGCATTCCATTTTTCATTATTGGCTTGTTTTGGTTCGCCATCTCATCTTAGCAACTCACAATTGGAGCTTCACCGTTATCTTGCCTTCGTGATAATTCCCGCATGTGTCCAGAGTATGCTAAATTAATTGTTAGCAAGAGGGAAATGGTACACAGTGGCACCATATTAGCTGATAAACGTGCTTGGCTGCTTTAAATTGTTCGGCATGCATAGGAGAGTTTTTTTTAATAAGCTCATGGTATACGTGTACCCTGTTAATGGGAAGAATATTGATACTATGAAGTGGATTAGATGTTTGATCGATTGCTGTTGTTGTCGGGTGAAATTGATCAGTTTTTCTGCCACATGAATCTGTAGGTGGGGTGTTGTATCTACATTTACATTTCGGATAAGGAATTTGATTAATTGGTTGTACTTATTAAGCACCAGTGCTATTTTCCTTGGACTATTGCAATTCGATTACTGAAATATTCGTCCCTAGCGTCATGTGACTGGCATGCATTTATTTGGTCGTTGCTGTTGGGTTTGATCTTATTGGATGTTCTTGTGATCGGACTTGAGGCAATGCCATTCTGGTACCTGCAATTTTATTAGTTGGCACGTGGTATATTTTTATTTGTCCTACCGTGATTGTTTATAATTTATGCATTGAAGCTGCTGTTGCGTTTTTCAATGAATGACAACCTGTAGAGAGGGGTATATTTTTCTGCTTTAAGTGTGATGCTGTTTTGGTCCTATGTATATGATTCGTTGCATATTATAATCTGATATGAACTTCGCTAAATGGGTTGAACTGTTATTTTGGCTTCACACATAAAATTGGATGATAGTTCATATACAGTTTATGCGTTTGGCCTGCTAATAGCATTTTAGTGGTACCTTGTAGATATTTTTAGGATTGTGATGGCCCCTGTGACTCGGAGTGCTTCGAAGGGTAAGGCCCAACTATTGTGACAAGTAATTATAAAAAATTCTGATCAGAAACAGCTGTAGTGCTCGGCTTTTTAACATCCTTATTTACAGCTTTGCAAACGACTAGGGGTGCTAACCGTTGTTCTTTATATTCGGCTACGGGAGAAAACGATTTGCGTCTTTGTATAACAAACTACTTCAAGGTGAGTTATAACTGACTAGGTGAAAAATTTCTGTAGATGCTGTCCCAATATTCGCTTAGATTGTATCTAATTTCCCGTTTAAGGCGACCTAAAGCCTATTTTCTGGTTTTGACTTTCCTAAAGAAAACAAAGATGCCCAAACCAAAAGGTCCTAAGGAACCACGTATCAATTTCACGCCGAAGATGGAAATTGCCATTGCTGAACAGCTTCTGAACATGCATAGGAATGGGGAAATATCATCGCAGACCATCGGGAGCCACGTTGTCCCTCAGATTACTAGGATGCTCACTGAGACTTTCGGGGTTTCATTCCCCCGCGATACTATTCGGTCAAAGTACTATGCGCTTCAGAACTTAACTAGGCTTTACATTTCGTTCAAGAAGCGTGGCACTGGTATGGGCTGGGACTCAACCAACTTCACCTTCATGATGGATGATGAGCGATGGAGTCATCTACTTCAGGTATAATACTTATTCAACTTGATTTTAGCTTATACGCTGTTATCGTTATATATTTTCTTTTATAAGCTTGGTTTATAATTTTGGTAGGTTTTTTGACCATTATTAGTTGTATGTATTGTTCAGCTGTGGAATTTGCCTTATTTATTTGTAAAAGTTGTTTGTTCCTAACAGCTGTTGTGTAGCATCCTTGTTAATTGGGTTTTTGCTTAGTTTTAAATCCTGTTTTCTTCTTTTTTAGGTCAACCAGGGATACAATAGATTTAGGGGCCGGTGTTGTCTGGTCTTCCATTTGCTTGAAGAAGTCTTCATGAATCAGGGGGCTACTGGGGATTTTAGCGCCGGCTTTGGAGTATCGCCCCTCAATTCGGGCGATGAATTGGAAATGGAACATGCTGCGAGCAGAGGTAGGGGCAAGGGGGCTGTGGATGTCGATTCATCAGATGGAGGAGATGCCGTTCCTGTGACTCGGAAAGGGAAAGAGAAGGTTAAGAAGGGCAAAGGAAAGCGCAAATCGGGGGACATGTCAACTGAGTCATTCTTTGCGCCGTCCTCCCCCCAATTCCAGAAATACGTCCGGGTTTTAGACAGCATCGAGACACGTTTGAGCGGTAAAGGGAGCTCTGGGATCTCCGGTTCGGTCTCTTCTCCTGCTAAGACCAAAAAGGCTCCAGTTGATGAAGACGAGGAGCTGGTGGCTGCCTTGGCCACCTTGAGCAGTCTGAATTTGGACCGAAGTGTGCGCTTCCAGATGGCTGATCTGCTAAGGAATCGGCATGAGCGTCTCATTTGGTTCTTATGCGCGGACGACGAGGACCGCCTTGCCTTTGTCAGACATCGAGGCTTCCTCCCCCCCCTTAGCATCTCGTTCAATCCAGCCGAAAACTATTGCGGCAGCCTTCGTCTTAGTTTCCGCCATGCCTTAAATGGATTTGATCTATTCGTTTGGATTTATGTACTTGGAGTTGACAGTGGCCTGTGTTATTCATTTCTTTACTGTACCGTGGACCCAATTTTGTGTTTTTTTTTTTTCTTGTGCGATGAAGTTGAGGTTACAACAATTTCGGATAAGTGCATGTGGTTGCGTTTATAAATGTTGGTTGAATTGTTTAAATGATATTATTTGTTGGGAATGGTGCAAGGATATTCATTTTGTGTGACAGGAGTTGCCGCTACATTTTTTTGTGAGCCGATGGTCATCTTTGTTTGTATATTTTTTAACATTTGGAGCTGGTTCAGGTTATTTCTGAATACCATCTGCATGTACAGGGACCATCGTGTGTTAAATAATTTGAGTGTGCTTCTCAATATTGGTTGCAGTAGTGCTTCTCAGTATTGGTTGTAAGGAAATAGTGCAATGCCGTATATATTGGTTGCAGCCATGTTCCTAAATTAATTTTATTGGCATCATTTAATATCTATTCTTTGTGGGTTTTTCTGTTATCACATTAATCCTTGGCCAATTTCACAATTTTCTTCCATTGTGGCGCCGTAAAAGTGCAATGGCTAATATTTTGTGTACTCATAGGCCGCATATAAATTTTTTCACTTTTTCGTGTTTTCTAGTATTAATTACTCACAGTTATTTTCTCAGATAGCTAGGTTAATGTCTGCTAATTTAAACTCCTTATTCAGTTATTTTCAAAATAATTTTTTTAACTTGTTTGCTACACACTGTACGATATTTACTTATTCAACTTGTGAGTCTTTATATGAAATTTATGAACTTGTTTAATTATTTCACCTGTGTACAAGGATAGTTGACATTTTTTGTTGCGTTATATTATTGGCATTCCCCAAATGTGCCTGTGAGTGTTTATAATTATTAAGTGAACTTAATATATAAAATCAACCTGTTATTTGGTTGATTTACTTATTGCACTTTTGACACTTTGTAATAAATCGTTGAACTTGTTTAATTATTTCACTTGTTTAATCTATGGGTTTGAATATTTCAGGTTATTTTAGGCATAGAGTTTTGCCTATTTTTTTCTTCATATTCAGGATGTTGCTATTAATTTATTTGTGACTGTTTATAATAATGGGTTGCACTTATTTAGTAGAATTTGTTGGGGATTTCCCCAATTGACTCAATTGGTTTACGTGGATATCAACCTTTCAATGAGGTTGTGAGTTGCCATTCAGGGAATTATGTGCGGATTTCCTCTTTAAGTATTCATTTCTTTACACCGTTTCTGCATTATATTGAGGATATCAACCTAATGTTTTCGTGTTATTACACATACATAATTCTTGGATGTTTGTTTCATTATAATTATTTCTTGGAATTTGTATCAATTGAGGTTATTATTTCTTGGTTGATAATATTTCACTTCTACTACTAGAATAGGGTTTAATGAGCTTCAATCACTTGGCCAATTTCAGAGTTCAGAGTTGTTGCTGTGCGAAGATGGACAACGATGGGCACATTCAAGGAGGTCAACTGGATGACGAGCTAGATGATGAGGAGCTCGACAACATCCTTATGTACGTCGTATTATTGGGTTTCATGTTCTTTTTCCAGGATACACATCAGCAGGTCCCAAGAAGACGAAGAGTACGAGATAGCGCGCTGTCAGGGAGAGATTACACGATTGAGATTATTAACGGACATGAAGACCGAATTATTCAGAATATGCGCTTGGATGTTCCTCAATTCCTTTTGTTGTGCGATTTATTGCTTAATCGGGGTTACTGGCATGCATATCCTTCTCAAAGAGTGGGGGTACATGAATCCGTTGCTTTAACCCTAATGTGCCTGAGCCATGATGAGCGGCACCGGGTGTTAGCCGAGCGGTTCCAGCACTCAACTGAGACGATTGATCGACACGTTCGTCGTGTCTTACGAGCTTTGGTTCGGCTAGGTCGTGATCTCGTTAGGCCAAGAAACGTCGATGACACGCATCCTCGGATCTTGAACAATGGTTTGCTCATGCCGTGGTTCCGAGTATGTATCTCATGTTTAGTTGGACTAGTGCTTCTCATGTAGGTTTCTGCGAGCATGTGAAACTCATAGCCAAACTTATTTCACTTATATAGGATTGTGTGGGAGCTTTAGATGGGACCCACGTATCCGCTTGGTGCAGAGCAGAGGTAAGAGAGAGGTTCAGAAATCGGCATGGCGACTTATCCCAGAATATACTTGCTGCCTGCGATCATGATATGCGGTTTGTCTATGTTCGGGTCGGCTGGGAGGGTAGTGCTCATGATGCCAGAATTCTCCAAGAGACCTTGCTTGATCCGGGCTCAGGATTTCCAATGCCACCGCAAGGTAATTTAATTGAAATGCCTTTTTAGATGCTGTCTGGTAACGAATTAGAATATGTCTGGTGACGAACTACTTTTATAATACAAGGCAGTAGGAAATAGTCTCTTTTGTATTTGGTTCTTATTTACAGCATTTGTTTCCGTAATAAATGAGTAGGGGCAATAACATGAACCCTGTCATTAAATCAACAGGAAAATATTATGCAGTAGATGCTGCCTACAGAAATATGCCGGGGTTTATGGCTCCGTTTAGGGGTGCACGGGGCACACCTCATGAGCGAGCAGCTAAAGCGCTGTTCAATAGGCGACATGCATCAGTTAGGAATATTATTGAGCGTACATTTGGAGTTCTTAAGAAGCGATTTCCAATACTCGAAGGTCCAATGCAGAACTACCTGATAGCAACGCAAAATAATATTGTGCTTGCATGTTGTGCTCTTCACAATTTTATGCGCGATTATGTGCCGAATGATGAGTACTTCAATGAAGAAGCGATAAATGGTGCCTTTGCTGATGCACACATAGCAGGGGAACAAGTGCAGATGGGTCAACCTATCGATATGTCGCAGCAGGGCATAGATAACTGGAATGAAGATCGGCGGGCAATGGCAGCGCACATGTATGTGAATGCTAATAACTAGACTCTAGTGCTTGGCCTAGGACCAAAAGTGTGTTAAATCAGCTTCCGATTTGTACTTAAATGTTTAATTCACATTCCTGGTGATTGAGGGATTACAAAATCATTGGGCTCCAGTTAATTGTGTTGTACCCATGTATCCAGGGATTTGCACCTTTGTATGAAATCTGCGGACTCATACTTTGCTCTACAACCTCAGTAAGTATTCAGTTTGCCGGTTTAGTTGACGTGAGTTTGTGAATGGTGCCGTACGCTTAACTCATGACCGAGTTAAGTTCTAGGCACATTTTTTACTTCGTTTAAATTTGGTAGAAAGTTTGCCAACTACTTTAGGAAATTCCGGGAGGGGACATAATTTAATGGCCATTATTTTGCAAAGATAGCGAACGTATTGGCCAATTACACATTTGGACCCTTAGATCCCCTGTTTTGGGGGTGTTACACATAAACTAGTTTTTGAAATACAATAAAAATTTTTAAAAAGGACTATAAAAGGTAATCCAAAAATTAGTTTTATTTTTTTAAAAAAATTTTCAATAATGTATCTCAAAATATTTTCTAAAAACTTTTCTATTCTTAATTGTACATCAAAATATTTCCCAAGAGCCAATCCAAAATATGCTCTAAAAACTCTGTTACAGTACAGTTTTATTTTAAAAAAATCCCCCAAAAACAGCTAATCCAAACGAAGCTGTTTTTAAAAAACAGCTCAATCCAAACGCATGTGTTTTTCAAAAAATATGAGTTTTTCAAAAACAACAATCCAAACGACAATGCGTGTTTTTAAAAAACTGCTACAGTATTGTTTTTCAAAAACACCCCCAAAAACAGGGAATCCAAACGCACCCGTAATCTTTTCTAAAAGTCAGCGGCCAAGTTTTGGCCAAAATTTTTGAACTTTAAGAAGATATAGTAATTAAGATTACACGTTATGCATAAACAACCAAGTAACCTAGTAGGCATACCAAGCCGTAAGGGAAAACCATTTTACAATTTGTTATTTGGATGTGTGTGTGGATCACATGTCAACAAAGATACAAGATGCAGATTTGAGCATTCACCATGTGAAATAACACAAGTTAAAATCTATACATCACCTAAGCTGCAATTAACATCTCAATCACTATTTGAAAATGGGTAGGTGAATCAATTTACAGTTTATGACGTCATTTTGTTTGGATAAGAGATTATTTGAAATAATTACTATAGCACTTTTTGTAATATGATATATGTGAGATAAAAAGATGATTGGAAATTGTGTTTATAATGTAAGTAAAAAAAAAAATTGTGAGATAAAAAGATGATTGGAAATTATGTCTATAATGTAAGTACAAAAAAAAATTCAATGTAAGTACAAAAAAAAATTGAATTTTTTTTTTTTGCAAATCTTCCTATCCAAACAAACTAACTGTAACTTCAGAAATTGTTGTTGCATTAATTATCCAAGCCGCAAGGGAAAACCATTTTACAATTTGTTATTTGGATGTGTGTGTGGATCACATGTCAACAAAGATACAAGATGCAGATTTGAGCATTCACCATGTGAAATAACACAAGTTAAAATCTATACATCACCTAAGCTGCAATTAACATCTCAATCACTATTTGAAAATGGGTAGGTGAATCAATTTACAGTTTATGAAGTCATTTTGTTTGGATAAGAGATTATTTGAAATAATTACTATAGCACTTTTTGTAATATGATATATGTGAGATAAAAAGATGATTGAAAATTGTGTTTATAATGTAAGTACAAAAAAAAATTGAATTTTTTTTTTTGCAAATCTTCCTATCCAAACAAACTAACTGTAACTTCAGAAATTGTTGTTGCATTAATTATACGAGTAATCTTATAAACACTGACAGTATATACATTACCACCGTTGGATCCATGACATATATGCAAAAGTTGAATTTCAAATTAAACTCATATCTAACTAACTCACATAAATATTCCTAAAGTTTCACTAGAACACAATTACTCTTCCTGGCATTGTCATAGATTCCTCAAGGATCCCTTGCTTATGCCAGGTTGGTTCACCTTGTTCAGCTTAGATACCTTCAGTCATCTTTGTCAACGGCATGCCAATATTGTGCTGTCTAGCTACCTAGCTCGAACTTTCAGCATGGGCTGAAAACCAGTGTCCATTCGTGGAACTAATGAAATCTGAAGCTTAATCTTCAGTCAAATTTGTTAAGGCCATGTGTTGCACTAATTCTGAGTAGCCAACATCCACCAATGCCAAATCGACCTAAAATTTTTTAAATCAAAGTTATATGTCTAAGCACTTCATTAAGATACAAAGGAGGTAATTACAATCTTTCTTAGAGCGTTGCTAAGAGGCCTAAGAGCTTCTTTACCTTCTAGACATCCTTATAAAGTAACTGAAACTTCGGTATACGATCTGGAGGCAACGGACATGTAACAATAAGTTTGCCTT